AGAGAGAGAGAGAGAGAGAGAGAGAGAGAGACAGAGAGAGAGACAGAGAGAGAGACAGAGAGAGAGAGAGAAAGAGAGAGAGAGAGACAGAGAGAGAGACAGAGAGAGAGAGAGAGACAGACAGACAGACAGAGACAGAGAGACAGAGACAGAGAGAAACCCAAAATAAATCTTAAGTCCCACCCCATTTCATTCACCTTCCCCTCTCCTCCCCTTGGAGTGGGTCCAAAAAACGACAGTCTTCCCAGGGGTAAGTAAATGAGCCAGTAGTGGCATAGGCCCAGAGACCTGGAATTCTGGGTATTTGTCCAGACATGTCGCTAGTTTAAATAACCATCCCCTAACCTTGTGTCAGGTTGGTGGGATACCTATAGAGGATTGAAGACACAGTAAAAGACTCTAGGACCCTGAACCATAAGGTGGCCAAGTGTGCTCCCCTTCTACCATGGGGGTTTTAGACAGCCAGAAGACCCAGTTTCCCTCGTGAGCTCTGCTTGGCAGAGTTACTAAGGTAGTCTACATATTTGGTTTGATTGTTTTGAGACAGGTAGATCAGGCTGGCCTTGAACTCGCAGCCATCTGCCTACCTCTGCCTCCGGAGTGCTGAGAGCAAAGGCGTGCGCCACCATGCCCAGTCTGTGTATTTTTGCTTCTCTCACAGGCTACAGCTCTCAGTCCACGACGACTCAGACCTCCCCAGGTAAGGTTCGTGGTCTACTCCAGCATTTGTGCCGAAGGATTTAGAAAGGTATTAGACAGGGAGTGCTGGACTGTTTTTCTTTTCTTTTTGGTTTTTCAAGACAGGGTTTATTATGTAGCCCTGCCTGCCCTGGAACTCTGTCTGTACACCAGGTCAACCTCAAACTCAGAGAGCGGCCTGCCTCTGCCCCCAGGTGCTGGGACTGAAGGCCGTGTGTACCACTACCTCTTGGTCTGTTTCTCACTGAATACAAGTGATGTGAGCTTGGGCCAGAGGTCTCTGGGGTTCACTTCTCCAGCCTAGTCTAACATAGCTTGCAGAGGGAAGAGATGAATAGTCAGAGGCAGAGGAGGGGAGGAAAAGAGACAAAAAAACCCAAAGCAAAACCTAGCTTCAGAGAGGGAAAGAAGGGCACAGAATGGTTGGAGAGCAGCGTAGCAGACCCCTCAAATGATGTGTTTCAGGGCTCTTCAGGAGTCTGAGCCCCTAGCCAGTTTCTCTCAGCTCAGGTGAGTGAGTGAGTGTGGCCTCTGAGAAGGCCAGCTCTAACCACCCATGCCATCCCCAGCCATTTAGACCTCCTTGGAGCTTGGGGGTTCTCAGATGGGCAAAGGGTATGACATCACCAGACCTGCCCCACTTCCTCTCCCCATCTCCTTCTGTTCTTGCAGGAGACCAACCTTCCTCAGGGCCCGGCAGTTCAAGGCTTCTGCTTAGCACCACTTCCCCAGGTACTCCGCTGCCAGGACTATAAATGGTGCCCAGAGAGGGCCCAGGAAGAACTTGGCCATGTCAGCTCTGCAGGAGAATGTAGACTTGTAGCAGAAGGAACAGGGCCTTACACTGGTGATACCAAAATAGGGAAGCAAAAGCAGGTGTCACAGGACCCGTGCAAACATCACCCGCATCCGACATCAGCTCTGGAGGACCCTCCCCACAGGCAGTGGCCTCAAGATCTGAACCTGTGAAGGAGTGAGATGAGCAAATGGAGGTTGTGGGGTGGAAGGTGGGGAAGATGGGTTCCAAGATGAGCAAGCTGCAAAGACCAAGGTTCAGAGGTGAGCCAGAGAATGGCTCCTTCAGGAACGGAAAGCAGGGATGCGAAGGAGGGCAGGATTGGAGCACAGGTATAGTGCTTGCCTAGTGTAAAAGAAGTCCTAGCTTTATAACCATAAACACACACACAAGAAAAGAAACAGAAAAAAGGAGGATATGTTAGGCCAAGAAACCCTCCCTGTGTATATTCTGGCTGATGCTTTGAGGGGGTCATGTGTGCTCCCAATCCACAGAAATTCTACAGAAGGCCTCACAAGTCTCCTTCGTATCCAGTCAGCCTGTAACGCCCAGGCCAAGCACCACGGATAGTCACACCCTTTCCTTGCCTGGCCTGACATCACTACAGCCACAGAAGCACACACTGGGACTTGGTGAGTACCTAGGGCAGGCAGGCAGGAGGTGGTAGACCCTAGATATGTCTGGATGTGTTCCTTCTTCCTTTAGTCAGATGGCCTAAGTGCTGGATGGAGGGTCTAGAAGCGACACCAGTGGTGCCCTGGTTTGGAAAATCATAAGAGAGCATTGGAGAGAAATAGAAAAAGAAAGTTGGGCCTTCTCATTGTCCAAGGTTAACAATCTTGAATTTGGGACAGAGAAAAGAATAGACAGGAGAGGGTAATGGGAAGGGGACTCCCAAATGCAGAGCTGGGAAAGGGCTAGACCCTTCTCAGGGCATGCTGGGAGGGATGGGAACCCTCCGACTTGGCCATTGCTTCAGGTGCAGGCACGGGAACCCCAGACAGCGGTGGCGGTGGCAGCAGCAGCAGCACTGTCAACAGCACAAGAGGAGGTATGTCCAGTGTGTGTTCCCAGCAAACAGGAATGGTCAGACATGCCTATTGACCATTTCTTTTCGATCATTTTTTGATCCTTGGACATTTTCTACTCCCAAGCTTATTCAGGAGGTGAGTAGAGATAAGGAAATAGGATGGCAAGTAGGTCTGAAGTATGGGACTTGTACAAGGGAAGAGGAATGTGACATTGGCTCTCTCCTTCATCACATAGGTCCCAGGGTTTGAACTCAGACCATCAGTCTTGGTGGCAAGCACCTTTACCTGTTGAGCTATTTAGTCAACCCAATATCATTTTAAGAGGACCAGAAACCTATGCACTCTCCCTAGCACCCTAGTTCTTTGGGTCAATGCCTTCTCTCTTCCCATCTTCAACTGTTGGCAGAACAGAGATGGCTCTACATTGCCCAGTATGTTTTTCCTGTTCCTGCAGCATAAATCCTTTCTTCTGGGCACTAAGGGATGGTGGGAACATCTTGAACCTTCTGGAATCCTCTGAACCCAGTAGTGTAACCAACCGGCAGAGCTATTTATGCAGGGACATGAGATCCCTAACCTCTGTCTTTGTCTTCAGGTGGTCTAGTCAGAGGCAGGGAGGAAGTCTTTTCTAAGGGCTGTTAGCCCTCTGCAGGCTCTTACCTCGGGGATCAGGAGAGATCTCTCTTTGCCAGCTCCTGCCAGTTCCCTTCACTGATGCACGGACACATACTCTATTTCAGAAATGTCTCTGAATGCTACTGCCAGTTCAGTAACCACAAGCCTGCAGACAATGGAAGATGTGAACATCCAGCCCAGCCCCACACCACAGCCAATGATAACTGTGATGGCCTTTGGTGAGATGGCGGGGAGGATGGGGCATGAGAGGGTGGGTACTCTGCCTCAGGACTGACTTAGACTCTGGATGGGAACGCGAGTTCAAATCTCATCGATTCATTCTGGGATGGACTTGCTGGTGAGCAAGTCTCTCATGGAAAGAAGTCTTCTCTGGCTTTCTGACCAGCTCTTCTTGGCTAGGGGTACCAGCTAATACAGAAGCAGAATTCACTTCACTCTGAGTAAATATATATATATCATGAACACACACGCACACACGCACGCCTGTGCGAGCGCGCACACACAAACACACACCTTACCAGGGAGGGAATTCTAGACACATCCTTATTGCCACACCTCTTCCCCTGTGCTCCCCATCTCTTCCCTGCTCAGGTGTTATCAGCTTCATTGTCATCCTGGTGGTTGTGGGGATAACCTTAGCCAGTGTGGTCAGTCTAAGGTTTATGTGTCGGAAGAACAAGGAGTCTGAAGGTAATTGTCTTGGCTTGCCAGGCTCCCTTGACCCCTGTGTCTAGGGAGCTGAACAAGGGGCTCAGGCTGACAGCACATGAAATGGGAAGGGGTGCTCGGGTGGCTTTGAGAGGAAGTCTGGGATCTGAACTATAGTGTGTGACCCTAATTTGTGTCCTTGGGATTTTACAGATCCACAGAAACCAGGCAGTTCAGGGCTTTCGGAAAGGTAAGATGTTAGAAGTCTATGAAAGGAATCTTCTATCTAGCACACACACTTCTGCCTCCTCGACACATGCTGCACCCACTCACACCACTTGCAGACATATGCCCCACAGTCCTGCAGACTTCACTGAAGCTGGGCCAGGCTGGCAGGCTCAGGTGAGCAAAGATAAGGGAGGCTCTTCAGCACCAGAGCTCAGCTTCTGGTGTCTCTTCATGAAAAGTGCAGGAGCGCAGATTCTGGCCTAAGATACATCCTCTCTAAGCCCAGGAAACATTTTCTCTGTGGTTTTGGAGCCTGTCCTGGAACTAGCTCTTGTAGACCAGGCTGGTCTCGAACTCACAGAGATCCGCCTGCCTCTGCCTCCCGAGTGCTGGGATTAAAGGCGTGTGCCACCACCGCCCGGCCCCAGGAAACATTTTGAAAACCTACTCTGGGGCTGGAGAGATGGCTCAGTGGTTAAGAGCATTGCCTGCTCTTCCAAAGGTCCTGAGTTCAATTCCCAGCAACCACATGGTGGCTCACAACCATCTGAAATGAGATCTGATGCCCTCTTCTGGCCTGCAGGCAGACACACAGACAGAATTTTGTATACATAATAAATAAAATATTAAAAAAAAAAAGAAAACCTACTCTGAAGCAGGGTGGGGTGGCTCACACCTTTAATCCCAGCACTTGGCAGGCAAAGACAGGCAGATCTCTGAGTTTGTGGCCAGCCTGATCCACAGAGCAAGTTTCCAGGACAGACAGGGCTACATAGAGAAACCCTTGTTTTGGAAAACGAAACAAAAACAAACCAACTATACACCATACAAAATGGCATAAAACTTGTGATATTGTCTCAAATCTTTACAGTAATTCTTTTTGTTTGTTTTTGAGACAGGGTCTCACTGCGTAGCTCTAGCTGTCCTGGAACTCACTAAGTAGACCAAACTGGCCTTGACCTCACAGAGGTTCACCTGCCTCTGGCTTTTATAGCAATTCTTTAAGGGACATTTGACTTTATTTTACACATTAAAAAGTTGTCAGTGCCAGAGATGCAGTTCAGGAATTAAGCATGTACGTCTCTTTCAAAGGTTCTAGTTTGGGTTCCCAGCACCTACATTGGGCAACTACAGTCACCTGTCGCTCTAGCTCCAGGGACTCCACTGCTTCTGTCCTCCAGGGACACCCGCACTCCTGGACACCCTCCCCCTCCCAACACATACATACATATAAGGTTTAAAAAATTTAAACTTAATCTTTTAAAAAATTGGGGCTGAAAATGTAGCTCAGAGAGTGCTTGTCTAGTATACAGAAAGCCCTGGGTTCTAGTTCAGTTACTGTGTAGTCTAGACCTGGTGGCACATAACTGGAATTCCAGGCAGGAAGATTGGAAATTCAAGGTCATTAGTGTCTCTGTGGCCAGGGACACGGGAGACCAATCTAAAAAACAAACAGACAAATACCACCAAAATAAAGCGAGCAAACAAACAGAAACCAGGTTGTAACTTTGTCAACCTCAAACAACTAAAGACTGCTGTCTTGCTTAGAAGAGAGCCTCACAGGGCCTGGGTTGGTCACTATGTAGCTGAGGATGGCACTGAGCCCCTCATCTCCCTACCTCTTACCTGCCAAGCGCTGGGTTTCTAGTTGTACCACCAACCCAACTCGCAAAAGAACAAAAACATACTAGCTTTAAGTACAAATCTCCTGGCTTTCAGAGTATATTCTCATTTTATCATGACCCGTCCCTAAATACATTTGTCTGTAATGAAGATGGAAGGTACGGTGCCCCCAAGTTCCCTTTACCCCCTTGCTCTGTCCCCTTCCCATCTCAGCCGGTCCACAGCCAATGGAGAGAAAGACAGCATCACCCTCATCTCCATGAAGAATATCAACATGAATAACAGCAAAGGCTGCAGTGCAACGGAAAAGGTACATTCTTAAATTTTCTCTCCTTCCCCAAATTCACCCATTTCCTCCCCTCCCACCCCCAACACTATTTTCAGGCTCTGGTTCCTTAGACAGGCTAACACCATGATCAAAGTCTCTTCCCCTGCTTCCCTACCTTGCCCCTCCCAAGTTCACTATTCCTCATCATGACTGTTTTTCAGATTCTCTAAAAGTGACCCGGAGTCCCTATGGGTCACAATGTGATGCAGCTGCCCAGTGACCACGAGGAAGAAGAGATGAGATGAGATTGCTGGAGGCAAGAGTCGGCATATAAGTTATTTTGTTTCGTGTCTGCCCCAGCTCTAAAGGACATTGCATTCCTCTAGGATCAGAAACAGCGCACCGTGTGAGAGACTCCATCCCAGTACAAGCCACTCTAGCATTTGGCCTGCTCTTCCTCCTCCTCAGAGACTAAGGAACGAGGAGTCAATAGAGCAAGAGTCAAGGAAGGAATGAGGTAGACTGATCGATTCTGCTCACATTAAAGTTGTTTTTCTGGCCTGGAATCCAATTTCTTTTAAGGTCTATGTTGCCATCTACCTATTTCCTTCCTGGCTTTCTTCCTGTTTGTCTTTCTTCCTGTCTTTCTTTTCTTCCTTTCCCTTTCTTTTTCTCTCTCTCTCTCTTTCTATGAGCGTGTGCTTGAGCGTATGTATGTATATGCACCATGTACATGAAGGAACCCACAGAGGTTAGAAGAGGTCATGATCCCCTGGAACTGACTTACAGATAGTTGTGAGCTGGGTACTGGGAATCAAACCAGGGTCTTCTTTGAGAGCAGTCAGTGCTCTTAACTACTAAGACATCTCTTCTCTCTTCTCTCTCCTCTCTCTCTTCTCTCTCTCTCTCTCTCTCTCTCTCTCTCTCTCTCTCTCTCTCTGTCTCTCTGTCTCTCTCTCTCTCTGTCTGTCTCTCTCTCTCTTTCTCTCTCTCTCTCTTTCTCTCTCTCTCCCCCTATATAATTTCTTAGCAGCATTCTAGCAACTTCGGTATCTTCTCTCCTAGGCCAGACATGCCTGTGTGTTTCTACCTCTGTAGGTAGTGCTGAAAACTTGAGGGAGTTTTTGTTAGATTTACCTGTTACATCTTTCTTTCTTTCTTTTTTTCTTTTCGAGACAGGGCTTCTCTGTAGCTTTGGAGCCTGTCCTGGAACTAGCTCTTGTAGACAGAGTTGGCTTGAACTCACAGAGATCTGCTTCTACATGTCTTTTCATTTACTAATTTAGTTATTTTCGTGTGTGTGTGTGTGTGTGTGTGTGTGTGTGTGCGTGTGTGTGTGGTAGTTGGGATTGAAACTCAGGTGGCACTCTACTGCTAAGGTATATGTGCTGAGGTATACTTTATATTTTGAGACAGTCTCACTGAATTGTGCAGGCTAGCCTTGAACTTACTCTGAGGTTAGGTGGGCCTTGAATTTAATAATCTACTCGCCTTAGCTTCCTGAGTACCTGGAATTACAAACTGTGCAACCAGGCCCCAGCTTTACTGATCTTCTTAGGTAACATGGAAGCAGTGAGTAACCACTTCAACAGAAGAAAGAGAGGCCATAGTCGGTGCCCAGTCATCACCAATAGTGAATGGAATCAGGCCATCAGGATGGTTCCGTGCATGGGGGTGCCTGTTGTAGGATGTTTGTACACTGTGTGAAAATGTATTGCTATGATTGGTGTAATAGAAAGTTGGACAGCCAATAGCTAGGCCAGAGAAGAGGCAGAACTTCCAAGAGGAGAAGAAACTCTGGGAAGAAGAAGTCAGGGTTGTTAGCCAAACACAGAGAGGAAACAGGAGGTACAAGATAGAAAAGAGGCAGAATATAGATTAATATAAATGAGTTAATTTAAGTTATAAGAGCCAGTTGAGACAAGCCTAACTAAGGCCAAGCTTTTACACCCAATAATAATTCTCCATGTTATTATTTTCGGGTTTGCTGTCCCAATGAGAAAGCTTGCTGCAGGTGCCTGCCACCAAGATTGGTGACTTGAGTTTAGTGCCCAGGACCCAAAGGTGGAAAGAGAGAACCAACTCCTGCAGGTTTTTCTCCAACTTCTACAAGAACCTACACATATAAACACACACATGCAACAGACAAGCAAGAAATCCTTCTTAAATTAATTTTTAAAAATTAAAATATAGCTCGGGTAGTGGTGGTGCATGCCTTTAATCTCAGCATTTGGGAGGCAGAGGCAGGAGAACCTCTGTGAGGTCAAGGCCAGCCTGGTCTATACACTGAGCTCCAGGACAGCCAGGGCTATGTAGAGAGACCCTATATCAAAAAAATCAAAATAAGAAGAGAGAGAAATAAAGAGAAAAAGAAAAAAAAAAAGAAATCTTCAGGAAAAAGAACACGAGAAAGACAGCTTACCTGACAAAGAAGCTCTAGGGCTGAGTGCTGACAAATGCCCTCTGCCTGCTTCAGCGTGAGCAGGCGTCATTTTGGTCCTGGCATGGGAGGGAGACTGGAAAGGTTTACAAGGGCAGGTAGTGGGGCTTCGTACACCAAAGACTCACTTTGCTCTGTGCAGCTGATAGGCTTATTTCCTAGAAACAGAATTAAGGATCTTAGGTACACTGTGACATCACATGATCTTTTTTTTTTTTTTTTTTTTTTACACATGATCTTTTTTTAATTTACTTTTACGTGTATGGGTGTTTTGCCTGATATTGTCTATGTTCTACAGAGGACAAAAGGTCACTGGAGTGACAGATGGTTGTGAGCTGCCATCAGGGTGCTGGGAATCCAACCAGCAAGAGCAGCCAGTGTTCTTAATGGCTGAGCCTTCTCTCCAGCTCTGTGACATGACTTTTAAAAAGGAGAGGAAAAAAGGAAAGATATATCTTCCTAACAATAGCTGTGTGCTACTATGTTAGTTTGGAAAGGACAGAGGGAATGGTTCTGTATGTGTCTGCAGAGTGTTTAATTTAGAACCCAGAGAGAATATCACGTACTTAATCTGCAGAAACAAAAAGCCATTTTCTTCTGGCTTAAACTTCACAAAGTGATATGAAAGAGGAAGAACAAAAACTTGTATTCTCCCTACCCCCATCTTGTTAAAACTGTAACATAATCATTTTTTCTCTCTTTTCTTAAATTTATTTTTAGATGTATGGGTGTTTTGCCTGCATGTATGTCTGCACCATGTGCAGTGCCCACAGAGGCCAGAAGTCAGGTCCCCTGTGCCTGGCATTACAGTTGTGAGCTGCCATGTGGGTGCTGGGATTCAAACGGATTCCTCTCCACCCCAATCCCCCCAAAAACTATTAAAATAAAAATTTGGAGAGGTTGGGTTTGATTGGAGAGATTAATACCAGAATTTGGGAGCAAAGGCAGGCAGATCTCTATGAGTTTAAGGCCAGTTGGCTTTACATTGATAGCCCCAGGCCAGCCAGGGCTACAGAAAGACTTTATCTAAAAAAAAAAAAATCCACTTGGTGGTGACATGCACCCTTAATGCCAGCACACGGAAGGCAGAGGCAGGCGGATCTCTGAGTTTGAGGCCAGCCTGGTCTAAAGAGTGAGTTCTAGGACAGCCAGGGCTACACACAGAGACCTTGTCTCAAAAAACAAAACAACAACAATAAAAATAATGCAAAAACAATACCAATGCAACAGCAAAAACAATAATAATGAAGACAAGATGTGGCATTTACATTCATAATCTTAGCACTCTATGAGACTTGGGCAGGAGACTATTAAGTTGGAGGCCAGTCCGGAGCTGCATTGTAAGACAGTGTCTAAAGAAAAGAGCAGAAGAGATGGTTCTTCAGTTAAGAATGCTTGCTGCTCTTCAGGGGACTGGAGTTACATTTCCAGCACAAAGATCAGGCAGCTCACAACCATCTGTGACTCCAGCTCCAACAATCTGATCCTCTGTTCTCAGCAAGCACACTCGTGTGCGTACACACCCACAGAAGCCACATAAAAATTAATCTTAAAAAAGTTAAAGATGGGGGCTGGAGAGATGGCTCAACGGTTAAGAGCACTGACTGCTCTTCCAGAGGTCCTGAGTTCAATTCCCAGCACCCACATGGCAGCTCACAACTGTCTGTAACACCAGTCCCAGGGGATCCAACACCCTCACAAAGACATACATACAGGCAAAACACCAATACAAAAAAAATATATTAAAAATTTTAAAGACAGTGCACATCTTTAATCCCAGTACTCCAGTGGCAGGAGGACCTCGGTGAATTCAAGGTCAAGTTCTGGCCAGTATGGCTGCACGGTGAGACACTGTTTAAAAATAGCTGTATTCTAAAAAGAAAAGATGAGTAGGAGCCAAAGACGGTGTGAGGTGACTCCGGGCAAGTCCTCAGCATGCTGTGGACTCCCTCCTCTTTGTGTATTAGGAGAAGGAGCTGTACTTTGCCTCGTTCACCTCACTCTACAGGGCAGTAGAATGGGGAAAGGAACTTGGGAAGACTAATCAACAATTGTAGCGATCAGCGTGGGGTACCACTTCCCAGACCACACTTCAGAGCCGAGGCATTTGTTCCTAAGCTGTGGGCTGCTGAGGACACATGGCTGGCTGATGGTTGGCTGGTGGTTGTTAAGGGCCTTGGTTTTTCTTGCACATGATCATCTTCCCTTACTTGTTACAGAAACATTCATTAATAACCCTTTGGTATACATATCTCAGTGTCTCAGAGTCCATTTCCTGGAGTATTCATCCTATATAACAACACTATAGTATTTTCTTATTTAATTTTGAAACAGAATCTCCTCTATCCCAGGCTAGCCTGAAGCTCACAATGTAGCCAAAGATAACCTTGCCTTTACTCCCAAGTGTAGATATGTACTACCGTGTCTGGTTTTATGCAGTGCTACCAAACTCATGATTCATGCATGTCAAACACTAGCAAATGAGTCACACATCTGGCCCTAATACTACAGTACTTTTTTTCCTTCCTTGTGTGTGTGTGTTATGTGTACTTACGTGTGTGGGCACTTGCGTTTGTCAGTGGGAAGGCACATGTGTGTGCATGTGGAGGCCAGAGGTTGACAGCCACGCAGGTCTTCTTCGCTCACTGTCTGTGCTGTGGATTCAGGTGGGTCTCTCAGTTGAACCCAGTGCATCTTAGTCTGGCCATCTAGACATCCAGCTCATCCCAGAGAACGCCCATCTCCTACTTAGCTAACACTGGGCTCACAGGCCGGTCCCCATGCCTAGCCAGCTTTTATAGGGTGCAGGAGAGCTCTGACTCTAGTCCTCAGGCTTATGTGGCAAGTACTTTTACCCACGGAGCCATCTATGACCACACACTACAGTGATTATTTTTTAGAATTTCAGGCACACTTATTTAAATTGTATCTCCAACAGCACATGCTTTACTGTCCAGTAACAGTTAAAAAGTTTATCACGGACGTAGAACTCTCCAGGTGACATAACAATGTCTAGAAGGCTTGAATTCTGTTAGAACCATTGTCATTCTGCCCTGGCCACGTGGTTCAGCTGCTGAGCACACTGCACTAATCAGGTCAAGGACATGGGTGGATTTCACTCTGGTTAACTCATGTGCCTTCTTCATTACAAAGCCACAGTTTTTCCCGACTCTGGATAATGTACTGCAAATGTGAGCTGTTAGTCATAAGGTATTTATATATGGGATTGAAGGAATGCCTGGTATTAATAGCCTTGAGACTGCCAGGCTCTTACCCTACTGCTGATGCTGTACTACACTAGCCACTATGATCTTCCTGTTGCTAAGTAACAATACTCTGGGGAGGGGTCCAGGATGAACTCATTTAACGCTAAATCCTGCTTGTCTTTGGTAGGATCCTATTTTGTATGTAAATACAAGAGTCTAGCTCTGACAGGAAATCCGAGTGCCGCCCTCTGCTGCTCCTGTAGCTTCCCTAAGCTTACATCTCTTCCTTGATGTCTAGACAACAGGATGGTGACCATTTACAAGACAACTTCCTCCCTTTTCTTATACAAGACTACACAGTCCTAAAGCAGGAAGCTGTTTCTCTCTCTCTCTCTCTCTCTCTCTCTCTCTCTCTCTCTCTCTCTCTCTCTCTCTCTCTGTATGTGTTCGAATGTCTTTTCATTTCTTTGCTCAACCTATAGCAAGCAACACACCAGCTCAGGTACACAGGCCGTAACTAAAAGAAAGAAGGTTTACCCAGTATCTCTCTTTTTCCGGGCCTGGATGGGGCAAATCTCACGTCAGCATCTCTAAAAGCAAGCACACTGATAGAAAACTGGCTGCAGCTCCGTTGCCCTTACCTGTCACATAATTTCACAAAGTCAGGTCAATCCTACTAAAGTCTATGTAAACCTGTCAAAATACCAAAAACCCATACAAAACAAAACAAACAAACAAACAAAAAAACAACAAAAAACTTGTGGTCCTGATGGCCAGCCACATGGATTTCTGAATAGTCTGCTTTTCTTCAAAACCTTTTTCACCTATTTCCTTTCTGAGAACTGCCTTGGAGATTCCAGTTCTCTTCCCTTATTTCCCTCCAAGAGGTTCATTTTTATTTTTTAATTACGTGCACGTGTGCATGTGAATGCGCATGCCCATGAAGGTCAGAAGAGGACGTGGGATGCCCCGGGGCTGGAGCTACAGGTGCTTGTGAGCCACCTGACCCAGTGTTGGGAGCTGATCTCTTCAAGAGCAGGACATAATTTTCGCAGCTGAGCCCCTTCTCCAGCCCAGCTCATTAGGAATGGCTATGAGCCACCATGTGGCTGCTGGGAATTGAATTCAGGCCTCTGGCAGAGCAGCCAGTGCTCTCGATGGCTGAGCCATCTCTCCAGCCCCAGCTCACCTCAAGGACTACCTTTGCTCTTGTTGTGGTTGCTTTCCCTTGGCTCCTCCGCCTCATACAAACACAGATGTTGACTGCCAGTAATGATTTCTGCTAAGTGATGTGAACATAAGCAGCAGCTGGCACAGAAGGGTTCGCAGGGTTGGAGCTTGGGGTTCTAAATTTGTCCAAGGGATACAATCAGAGACAGACGAATCCAGAAATGTCAGTAGAGGCATACAGGAGCCAATGGGTATGTTTTTATAGTAATTATCTGAGAAGGTTGCAATGCCATTACCACCCCCTTTTTCTTTCCTTCCTTCCTTCCTTCCTTCCTTCCTTCCTTCCTTCCTTCCTTCTTTTCTTCCTTCCTTCCTTCCTTTTTTTTAGAGAATGGGGAGAGAGTGCCTCAGTTTTCCAATTTTGCCCAACATTTTTTTGCCTTTGGATTTTTGTTTTTCCAGACAGGGTTTCTCTGTGAAATAGTCCTAGCTTTCCTGAATCTAGTTCTTGTAGACCAGGCTGGCCTTGGACTTACAGAGATCCATCTGCCTGTTTCCCAAGTGCAGGGATTAAAGGCATATACCACCACAGCCTAGCTGTTCAACACTCTTAAACCTAGACTCTGAGACCAAGTCATTCCATAATTCACGGTACTTCTCATTCTAGCCAGATACTTCTGAGTTCTGATGGTTCTCAGACACCTGTGATTACCTGCAGACTTTAACCCCGTGCCCTGGAAATCCAAGGCAGTTACCCTATCTCAGTTGGCCATCTTCTAAAAGCAGGCTGTCTACAATTCCCAAAGCAGAAAACCTTTTTTATGTACAACCATCTGATGCATGATTCTGATTGGGCCATAGAGCACGAGTGAATCCTTCAGGACCCAGGCTTCTGTCTTCTTGCTTGTGAGCCTTCCCTTTAACCACTGAGCCATCTCCCCTGCCCAGATCCAGTTACCTGAAATATATGAGTTGGTCATAGATCCAGGGCCTCAGAGTTGGGCCTTCAGCTTATCTCAAGGTCTGGATGCTTTTGTCTTTCGAGTTTACCACAGTCCACCTGGCTGTGAAGCATAGTCCTTCCCATACCGATTCACCCTGTCAGACTTTTTTGTTTGAGACAAAGTCTCATTATATCTCAGGTTGACTTCAGACTAGGATCCTCCTGCTTCACCTCCTGGGTGCTGGTACTCCAGATGTGTTCTAACACATATGTATTTTGTTGTTGTTGTTTGTATTTAAGACAAGGTTTCCTGTATCCCAGATTGCCTTGAACTCCTGAACATTTGTGTCGCTATGCCTGGCTTATCCTCTGATCTTTTTTTGAAATCGGGAGTGGGACAATCAGTTTTAGTAGCAGGAGCCAGGTGCTAGGACAGGGGGGGATAGCAGCTTCCTATCCCTTTTTGGTAGTGTTATTCTTTTTTTCCTATTTGTAGTAATAATCACCAGATATACAGGCAGGAGACCTAGTTAGACATACTGGAGACTTATGACATGCCTAATACAGACTCTACACTAATAATTTACAATGTCAAACTACAAAGAAATTTTTTTTTTTTGGTAGCCGGGCAGTAGTGGCACGTGCCTTTTTAATCCCAGCACTCAGATGGCATTGGCAGGTAGATTTCTGTGAGTTCAAGGTCAGCCTGGTCTACAGAGCTAGTTCCAGGACAGGCTCCAAAGCTACAGACAAACCCTATCTTGAAAAAACTAAACCAAACCAAATCAAACAACAACAACAAAAAAAAAAAAAAAAAGGAAAAAGGAAAAAGAATTGTTTTTGCTCTGCCACGCTAGTCTGTGGTATCGGCTGGCATTTATCAAATACCAGACAAATTGTTAAGCATTATCTTCTTGTATCCACCAGCAATGCTAGGCTAATCTCTTAACCATTACGCTGTTCCTCCTCCTAAATCAGATAATGCTCAAATGTGGAGACAGCTGTCCTCTTCTTGCTAGTCGTGGCGGCGGGGGCAGGGCACAATGCTATCTTTCGGGGCTCTGTTTGTAACTGACATTACAAACAGCACAAGCATTTCAGGGTGCATTAATCTGGGAGCTCTCAATATATGCTTTTTTAGGTCACAAAATATAAATCAGAAACGCTTTGGTTGGAGGAGGGCAATGCAGCTTTCCTGGCTGTGCCTCTCTTCCCCCTCCAGCTCCTCATGGAAGATACCAGAGGCAGTCATACACTGAATCTCAAGGATGCCTCAACTCTGACAGAGGCCAAAGCAGAAGGAGAAGGAAGTTGGTCAGGGCTACACAATGAGTTGTGGCAAACTCCCAGCTACAACCTGTATCCAACTTCTGAGCCAGTTCTTGTTCCCGCTGAGAGGCCTTGTTCTCCTGGAGTTCCAAGTGGTCGTGAAGTCTGTATGCCAGGCTCTGCCAGCGGGAAAGTACTAGAGCCACATGTCCTCTGGGACTCTTACCCTTCTGTCTGGGTTCAGGGCTATGCATCCCCATGTAAACCCCATTTTCCCAACAGCCTAAAGTAGCAGGTTGACAGTTTTCTTGAATAAGATCTAAGCGAATTCTGGGTATTTTTTTTCCAGATAATTTTCTGAAATCCTGATCATTTTGCCCGTTTGTAGACCTGATTTTTGGCTTGGTGATTAGATTAGGTTTGGTGATCCCCACCTCATCACCTTCCTCCGTGGATTGTAAGGGAATGAGGAGAGCAGAAATTCCCCTCTGAATCATGCGGAAGAATTGCTCTGAGTCTTTGCTAGACTTCCCGGAAAACAGGGTACGGAACAGAAGGAATAATTGCTCATTTCCTCTTTACAAACTTCTTAGAGCTGGCCCTTCAGAAAAGAGAACGGGAACAAGAAAGAACTGGGAAAGAGGAGACGAGCCTCGGAGGTTCATGAGTAGAATGGCATGAAGTAAACACAAGGGCTCTGATGGCGGCTCCCAAACTTAACGCCCCGCCCCCCCTTTGGTCCCTCTGAGGACTAAGGAGCTTGGATGAGAGGAATCAAAACTACTGTCTAACTATACTAATTTCACCCCACTTTTCTTTTCTTTTCTTTTTTTTTTTTTTCGGCCATTAAACCTCCCAGAATGAGTTTAGCCTTCCCCAAACCATCTTTCTATCCCCAGGGCCTAGCATAGATTTTGCACAGAATAGGCACTGGTAGATACTTAAGAGGGACATTCCTGAGGGTGTCACCGGTTGGCCTGCAATGTGTGAAGCCGTTGCCCCCTAGGACCTTTGTATGTTCTCAGGATCAGGCAGGAAAGAAGCCACTTTTCCCAGCTATAGATGAGTCTGAGTCTGAGCCAGAAACGCAGAAACGAGCCAACTAAACCGTCCTGACCTCACTCTGGGGATCCCGTCCCTTCACACCTCTGCATCTCCGCGTTTCTCGCGCGGGCCCCGTCGGGACTTGTAGTCGCGTAGCCCCGCAGCCTACATGAACTAAACTACAATGACCAGCGTGCCCCGCGCCCCGCGCCCCCTCTCTTTCAGCCTCCGGGACTTGAGAGGCTCAGCCGACCTGCTGACTGAAAACCGATATGGCGGCCACTCTGGGCAGCGGGGAACGCTGGACCCAAGGTACCAGGTTCCGGACTGGAGGGTGGGACAAGGCAGCATTCCGGAGAGATCAGGGATGCGGGCTCCTCGGATCTTAAGGCCGAGATCCTGGACCAGATGGAGGCTTGTGGAAAGATGCTAAGCCTGGGAAGGGCTCGGGTTGCGGTGGAGGACGGCCCAGGGCAGCGGCCGGGAACGCTGGCCCCGGCTAAGGCTGTAGCTCAGAGCTCAGTCATCGGCTACTAGTTGCCTCAGAGCCCCCAGCTCCGCCCCGGTCATGCCCCATCCAGAGCCCCCGGCTGTCAGGCCAGTTTTGACCTCCTGTGATTCGAGGGCGCTTAGGATGCTGAGTTCCGTAGCTTACCTGCCCTTTATGGATAACTCCTTCACGTTAGGCCACCCGACTCTTTAGTCTCGGTTTAATCTCGTTCCTCAAGGCTTACATCAGGGCCAGTAGGCAGTCTGTCCTTTTCCACCCTACGGTCAGGCAGAAAGTTTTGATCCCGATACCTATCATCTGTCCTGCGCTATGCTGATTCTGCAGGGGGAATTTGACAGACGCGGGTCCCTGAGCTCACAGAACTGTCAGTCCACTGAGAGAGTTTGACCGGTTAACAGCCTTTTACAAAACACAGCCAGTAAGTTCCTGGGTTACTACCGCAGCAAGGTTGGGGGTTTGGGCTGCACACTAACAAGGTACTCAACACAGCCTGGATGTCAAAAGAAGCTTCGTTTTCTCCAAACATTACATATAAAGATATGAAGGATGCCTTAAAGGAAGAGTGTCAAAGATCTTAAGTAGGAGTGAAAGATGTTTTTAAAGCCTTTTCGGGTCTGCTGACAAGACAGGAGTGCCCTGTCCCTCACTGGCTTGCCCTGTACATTTTGTAAGCTTCAGGACTTACTGAGTCCTCTTGCACTAAACTATAACCTTTGTGTGGTGGGAATTGGTCTGACCCATACAGCCCCCGATATGTCTAGCCCGGTGTCTTGGTTCATATTAGTTCTACAGATGTTCGTTTTACTTTTTTAAAAAGATTTATTTTATTTTTAACTATGTGTAAGTGGGGGAAGAAATATGTCCCTGGGAGTTAAGGAGCCCTTTGAAGCCAGAGGCATCAGATCCACCTGGAACTGGAGTTACAAGAGGTTTGAGCTGCCATGTGGGTGCTGGAAATCAAACTCAGGCTCTCTGCAAGAGCAGTCTAAACTCTTAACTGCTGAGCCTTCTCGCCAGCCCGACAAATGCCAGTTTAAGAGAATTAAACGACTCCATTCTTTCTTGTTTGTTGTGTTTTGGTTTTCATTTGTTTTTGAGACAGGGTCTGTCCATGCTTCAAACTTTAAGGGTAGGAGCCTTTGCAAGCAAAGTATTCTTTTATGAGCGATGTCACCTCTGGCCATGTAGCACAAAGAAATGGGCCTCTCTCCACACTGCTCTAAAGGCAAGGTCTTGGGTAGAATTGCCTCACAAGCCCCTCTTCTGTATCTCAGTTAAGAGCATTTGTTGAACAAGCACTATCAGTATGGTGAAAATTTGGGGCTTTGTGCTTCTGGCATTTAAGTTTCTTCCTCGGGTGCATCCTGTATTCTCTGCGTAGTATTCCAGGCAAGACATTTGTTGGAGTTTTGAATGGAAGTTTTGAAGTCTCCATGATGTCTGTAGTCATCTAAAGACACTTCTCCACCCTTCTCCGCCCTTCTCCGCCCTTCTCCACCCTTCTTCACACTTCTCCATCCTTCTCCACTCTTCTCCACATTTCTTTGCTCTTATCCGCAAGCTGCTTCCCAGAGAGCGGAGGCAAGCAGCAAAATTACAGAGGCAGACATAGTTGTGCATGGTTGTAATTCCAACCTAAGAGAAGCCGAGGCAGAAGGTTTGTGAATTTGAGGCCAGCCATAGTGAAACCTTGTCTCAAAAAGTAAACAAAAGCCGGGCGGTGGTGGTGCACGCCTTTAATCCCAGCACTTGGGAAGCAGAGGCAGGCGGATCTCTGTGAGTTCGAGACCAGCCTGGTCTACAAGAGCTAGTTCCAGGACAGGCTCCAAAACCACAGAGAAACCCTGTCTCGAAAAAAAAAAAAAGTAAACAAAAGTCTAAGTTGGTTTGAACTGGAGGTTGATTCGGCTGTTGGCTTACAGCTTACATTGATGCAATTAGAAGAAACAAATACCCAGAAGACCGACGACCTGGCAGTCATGATCCCTGTGGTTGCTGTAACTGCATGAAGGCACAAAAGGAATCGAAGTCTGAGAATGAGAGGACACAGCCCCGGCAGGGAGAGGGGAGCTCCACTTACACCGAGGAACAGCTACTTGGGGTCCAAAGGTAAGCCTGCAGAACAGTGGTTCTCAACCTTCCTGATGCTGTGACCCTTTAATACAGTTCCTCATGTGGTGAACCCAACCACAACATTATTTTGTTGCTACCTCATCGCTGTAATTTTGCTACTGTTATGAACATAATGTAAATAGCTGGACATGCAGGATATCTGATATGAGACTCCATGAGAGGGTCGTTCGAGCCCCAAAGGGGTAGAGACCCGCAGGTTGGGAACTGCTGTTGTTGGGTTAAATAAAGGATTTTATAGAAGAAAGTGCTTAGAGGAATGTCTGTCTCAGGAGGGGCTATGCGTAGATGTTTTCCCTGCACGTATGTCTGTGCACCATGTGTGTACAGTGCCCGTGGAGGCTCAGGACTTTGGACACTAGAACGGGAGTTAAAGGTAGACAGTTTTGAGCCTCCATGTGGGTGGTGGGAATCAAACCCAGGTCCTTCAGAAGAGCAGCCAGTGCTCTTAACCACTGATTCATCTCTCCAGCCCCCATGATCGTATTATTGAAAAACACTAGCTTCTTGACTTCGAATGAAAGACTGGGTAAGAATGGAGTAAGAATGGAGTGTTAGAATATACTGTGAGTTGTGTGATATGCTTTAGGAGAAGCCGGGAAAACAAAGTAAGAAAGCAAGGGCTGGGAGTGTAGAATGTAGCTCAGTAGTAGAGAGCTTTGTCTCGCAGGCAGGAGGCCCAAGGTTTCATCTCCGGTACATTAAAATAAAAAAGATGTCTTTTAGCCAGGTGTGGTGATCCAGGTTTGTGATAGCAGCTGCTTAGGAGACTGAGAGCAGAGTGTTCTCAGGGTTACGGCCAGTCTACGACAACATGAGTTCAAGACCATCCAGGGCAACTAGGGAGACCCGGTGTCAAAATAAGAAAGTGCAGAGTGGACTGGGGATACAGTTCACTGGTGGAGTGCCTGCCTAGCACTGCAGGACCCTGGGTCCAGTCCCAGAATCGCAAAACAGACAAAAAAGAAACTAGAGGGTAGGCCTGGTGACATAAGCCTGTTGTCACAGACGTGGGAATATCTGGGGTTTGAGACCAAAACAACAAAACCCTACATAAGAAGGATAAAGGAAAAATACAAGAACAGATACAAATGAAATAGAAAATGGGAAAACAATAGAGAAAAACCAATGATGTCATAAATTAAATCTTTAAAATGTCAACAAAACTGATGAACTTTTAACTATACTGTCCAGGGAGAAAAACAAATACTCACTCAAATGACTAAAATCGGGAATGAGGCATGCCTGGTTGTACAAACCTGTAATCCCAGCACTCTGGAGCAGGAGGAACAGACAACTTCCAGGGTAGCCAGAGTTACACAGAGAGTTGTCTGCCCCTCAACACACAGACATACACAAAATCAGGACTGAAAAGAGAGGACAGCACTACCCTTTTTTTATTATTAATTTTATTTTTATGCCTCTGTGTGTGGGTGTGTGTACATGAGTGCAGATACACGCAGAGACCTGAAGAGGGCATCAGATCCCCTGCAGATGGAGTTATAGGTAGCTGTGAGCCACCTGATATGGGTGCTGGGAATGCGAGTTTGAGGCCAGCTTGGTCTGTATAGCAAGTTTCAAGCCTGAAAGAGCTATATTGTGAGAGACCCTCCCTCGTTGTTATTTGTTTGAAACATGGTCTTTCTATATGCTGGGACTAAAGGCATACACCTCTATGCCCTAGGAGACAGGATTTCTCTGTTTAGCCTGGTCGTCCTGGAACTCACTCCGTAGACCAGGCCTCAAACTCAGAGATTCACCTGCTTCTGCCTCCTGAGTGCTGGGAATAAAGTTATGTGCTTCCACTGCCTGGTAAACCTGGGAAACTCTGTCCAAAAAAGTGAGACAGGGTTTCTCTGTAGCTTTGGTGCCTATCCCGGAACTAGCTCTTGTAGACCAGGCTGGCCTCGAACTCCCAGAGATCCACCTGCCTCTGCTTCCTGGGTGCTGGGATTCAAGGCGTGCGCCAGGCTTTAAATTTTAAACTTGCAGCCGGGCAATGGTGGCACACGCCTTTAATCCCAGCACTCGGGAGGCAGAGGCAGGCAGATCTCTGTGAGTTCGAGACCAGCCTGGTCTACAGAGCTAGTGCCAGGACAGGCTCCAAAGCATAGAGAAACCCTGTCTCGAAAAACCAAAAAAAAAAAAAAAATTTTAAACTTGCTTCAAGACTAACGATGAAGACCACCTGACAGATGTGAGGATGAACATGGATCTCAGTGGGATAGGCTGAGAGTCCAGAATAACCCTCACGTTTATGGGCCCTTAAGTCTCATTGTTGTTGTGTTTATATAAAGTTTCACTCTGTAGACAGACTTACTCCCAGTAAGTGTCCTACCTCAGCCTATCAAATGCTTGCAATGCCAGGTGGCATGAGCCACCAAGCTTAGCTCTGACCCGTTATTTGTTGATAAGGTGCCCAGACATTTTAATGGAGGAAAGAATAGTCCTCAGCAAAGGTTTAGACAACTGAATATTCATATGAAAAGGATAAACCTGGACCCCAGTTTCATGAGCACAGAAAATCAATTCAAGGCAGGTGTGAATCTCTGTGAGTTTCAGGACAGCTAGGGCTACACAGTGAGACCCTGTTTCAGAAAGAGATGAAAGGATGAGAGAAAGAAAATGTAATTTTAAAAATAAGGCAAAGAGTGGGAAGGAAAACACCTGCTATCGATCTCTGGTTTTGATACATGCCCATAAGAAGTCATTCTCCACTACACGGAGAATTGGGGCTGAGCCTGGACTACATGAGAGTCTATCTGAAGAAAAAAAAGACCAAGCATTGGGTGAATGCTTTTAGTCCCAGCACTTGGGAGAGACAGACACAGTTAGATCTTTATGAGTTAGGGGACAGACTGGTCTACATAGAAAGTTCCAAGACAGCCAGAACTACATGAGAAAATCCTGTCTCAAAACAAAATGAAATCCCTCCCCATGTCCCTGAAGGGAAAACCACTTACACAGTTTTGAAAGATAGCCATAAGGGCAGATGTGAGAACACACACCTATAATCTCAACATGTGGGGAATGGAAGCAGGAGAATTAAGACCTCAAAACCTGTGATGTCTGCACCACCTGGAATCAAGGTTGGGCAAGGGCCTGGGGATTAAAGAACACACAGAGACAGGGGTCACTTTTGAAGCAAGAATGCCAATTTTATTATGTTCCCAGGCAGCTTATATAGTGCTCTCCTTGACTAGTGGTCACACCCTAGCTCTCTATATTTTTCACTGCAAGCCCACCAGAAACCACTTCCTTGTTGTCAGGAACTCATGAGGGTTCTGTGCTCAGAGTAGCTGCAAGCATAGGAAAACAAGTTGTTTACTCTGGCAGGCAAGGGGTCATAGAAAGTTCAGAGTCTGAGGGTCTGCAGCTCCCAACAAAAACCAGCCTTAGCTACATAGTGACCTCGAGGCTAGCCTGGGCTGCTTGAGATGCTGTCTTAAGAAAACAAAATAAGATAGCTAGCTAATTCTTCTAGCTTTGCTGTTCTTTGGTTAACTTTCAAGATCTTAGCCTGAACTTTGGCATAGAGGCTAACATGCTTCTTCTGCCCACTTATATGACTATAAGAGGGATAGAAGAGTAGACCCAGAGGGACTGTGTGGAAGGTCTGGATAGGATGATTTGAATGCTTATATTTTGTTGGGTTTGTTTTGGAGTTCACAGGTTGGAGGGATTTATTGTTTGGCTATTAGTTATACAAATAGAGCCTCTGTAGATATACACATTTTTAATTGTTTTCTTTTAAGAATCAAGAAGTGCAGAAATTATTATGAAATTCTGGGAGTTTCTTGCAACGCCAGTGATGAAGAACTTAAGAAAGCTTACAGGAAGCTCGCCCTGAAGTTTCATCCTGACAAGAACTGCGCTCCTGGAGCAACTGATGCCTTCAAAGGTTTGCCCTTGAGCCCATGCCCATCTGCCCTTGTAGTAGTGGTGATAGCAAATTAGTTTGTTTTTAAATCTTTTATTATATTTATTTATCTTAGCAGGGGCATATACATGGAAGTCAGAGAACAACTTTTGAGAACCAGTTCTCTCTTTCCATTCCATGGGTTCCAGGAATTAAGCTCAAGCCCCTCTTACCCACTGTCTTAGAGTTTCTATTGATGTGAAGAGATACTACAGCACACGCGTACGCACACAGACATACACACACACACACACACACACACACACACACACACACACACACGCAGAGAGCTTTTTGCTGTTTATCTTTGGAGCCTGTCCTGGAACTTGCTCTGTAGACCAGGATGGCCCCAAACTCACAGAGATCTGCCAGCTTCTGCATGTAAAGGCATGTACCACCACTGCCCGGCTGACCACGGCAACTCTTAAAAAGGGGAACATTCAATTGAGGTGGCTTGGTTACAGTTTTAGAGGTTCAGTCCATTATCATCATAGCAAGGATCTTGGCGGTGTGCAAGAGATGTGGTGCTGGCTACATCTTGATCAAACTGTAACAGGAAGTGAACTGAGACACTGGGCAGTATCTTGAGGACATATGAGACTTCAAAGCTGCCTCCACAGTGACAAACTTCCTCCAGTAAGACCACACCTACTCCAATAAGGCTACATCTCCTAATAGTGCTACTTCCTTTGGGGGCCATTTTCTTTCAAACCGCCACATTCCACTGGCCCCCAAAGTTTGTAACTATATCATAATGCAAAAATGCATTCAGTCTAACTTCAAAAGTTCCCATAGTCTATATCAATCTCAGACTTATTCAAAAGTCTAAAGTCTCTTCTGAGATTCATACAATCTCTTAACTCTGTTCCCCTGTAGAATCAAAATTAAAAAACAGATCACATACTTCCAAGATAAAATGGCACAGGATATACATTACCACTCCAAAACATAGGGAAGGGAGCATACCGAGGAAATACTGGACCAAAGAAGACCAAAAACCAGCTGGACAAACTCCAAATCGCATCTCCATGTCTGATGTCAGAACTCTCTTCAGATCTCCAACTCCTTTCAGTTTTGTTGATTGCAGCACACTTCTTTCTCTTAGGCTGGTTCCTCATCCCATTAGCTCTCCTCAGCAGGTGTCCCAAGGCTCTGGCACCTCCAGCATCTTGGGGTCTCCAGGGCAATACAGCCTTCACCTTCACACAATGGCCTCTCTAGGCCTAGGCCTCCATTCAGGGCCACCCCTGACACATGCATGGCCTCAGTTGCTTTCCTTAGTTTCAGAGGCAAATCCCATAACTCCTTTCTTCTATCCTTAACCGTAAAGCCTAAACCACGTGGCTGAAGCTTCTAAGTTCTGCTTCTTGCTGGAACATGGTCCCTTTGTTCAAGTACATCTTCACCAGATTTCTGTTTTTGGTTTTTACCTTTACTGCCTAAGCTGGACTGTCCTCAAACTTGCTCTGTAGACCAGGCTGACCTTAAATTCAGAGATCCACCTGCCTCTGCCTCCCAAGTGCTGGGATTAAAGGTGTGCGCTATCATGCCCAACTTGATACATCCTTAATAGTGATTAACACAGTTCTTTCCTGCCTTCATCTACTTAGATTGATCTCTGTCTGTCTGTCTATCTATATACACTTTTTTTTTAAGGAAAAAAGTTTTGTTTTTTAAATAACATCTTTTGTAGGGTGGAGAGTTGACTCAGCAATTAAGAGCACTTTTTTTTTCTTTTTTTTATTTATTTATTAAAGATTTCTGTCTCTTCCCCACCGCTGCCTCCCCTTTCCCTCCCCCTCCCCTAATCAAGTCCCCCTCCCTCGTCAGCCCAAAGAGCAATCAGGGTTCCCTGCCCTGTGGGAAGTCCAAGGACCACCCACCTCCATCTAGGTCTAGTAAGGTGAGCATCCAAACTGCCTAGGCTCCCACAAAGCCAAAAAGTGCAGTAGGATCAAAAACCCATTGCCATTGTTCTTGAGGTCTCGGTAGTCCTCATTGTCCGCTGTGTTCAGCGAGGCCGGTTTTAACCCAGGCTTTTTCAGACCCAGGCCAGCTGGCCTTGGTGAGTTCCCGATAGAACATCCCCATTGTCTCAGTGTGTGGGTGCACCCCTCACGGTCCTGATTTCCTTGCTCGTGCTCTCTCTCCTTCTGCTCCTGATTTGGACCTTGAGATTTCAGTCCGGTGCTCCAATGTGGGTCTCTGTCTCTGTCTCCTTTCATCGCCTGATGAAGGTTAATATTCAGGAGGATGCCTATATGTTTTTCTTTGGGTTCTTAAGAGCACTTTTTGTTCTTGCAAGAGGACCTGGGCTTTATTCACAGCACCTACAATGTGGCTCACAACCATCTATAACTCAAGTCCCGAGAGATCCAATGCCCTCTTCTGACTTCAGAGGGAGTCAGATATGCATATACATACACGCAGGCAAAACACTCATACACATAAAATAATAAATAAACCTTAAACCATTTCTAGGGCCTGGAATTCAGTGGTTAATATCGCTTGCTACTCTTGCAGAGAACAGCAGTCTGTTTCTAAGAACCTCCCAGGTTGCTTACAGTAGCCTGGAACTCCAGTTCTAGGAGAGCTGCCGGAGTCCAGCTGCAAATGAGGGCAGGGTCTGAAGTGGGTGTGTGCAGGGGCGGAGATGGAGAAGTCAGACACAGGGCACTTCACAGTGTTGTTTCATGGGAGGTGGACAGAGAGGAAGCGTATCTCAGGGTGGCTTGATCTACTCTGACAATCTGCATCTCTCATAGACTTTATTTAGACTCCAAATCATTTCCTCATAGACTTTAATAATTGATTACAAAGTCTTGTCATGCTACATACTTATTCTAAAGTCTTCCTTGATTATATAAGCATATCAAAATAAAAAAACAAAATGAGCAAACAGTAACTTTCATGAGAACTAAAATCTAACATGATAAAATCAATTATTTTAACTCAATTACATTAATTTTGTAATCAAAAATCTTCTGTTCCTGCTAGTTCTTTGTTTTTGAGGCAGAACATGAAAACCTAATGATTCAGTTATAGTTTGTCAGCTTCTAAAATTTCCCTGAGGTTTTCTTCTTTAATGATTTTTTTTCCCAAATCCTATGTCTTATACTTACTAATACCACTTAAGTAATAGGTTCTATAGAAAACTCAGTTTCTAGCAGAGGCAGGTGGATCTCTGTGAGTTCGAGGCCAGCCTGGTCTACAAGAGCTAGTTCCAGGACAGGCTCCAAAGCTACAGAGAAACCCTGTCTCAAAAAAAAAAAAAAAACAACAACAAAAAATTGTGTGTGTGGAGTGCCTGGTGAGATGGCTCAGAGATTAAGAGCACTGGCTGTTCTTCCAGAGGACCTGGGATTTAATTCCCAGCACCTCATGGATGGCAGCTCACAACTGCCTGCAGCTCTAGTTCTAGGGGATCTGGCATCCTCACACAGACATACATGCAGGCAAAACACCAGTGCACATAAAATAAAAATAAATAAATAAACAAACAACATAAATATCATAGGAAGAAGAGGCAGTAATGCAGTTAGTAATTATACAGCCCAAACATGACACCCCAGCGGAACCACGTTGTCATGGAAAGTAAAAAGAGAACCTTGAGGTCCTCAATGAAGGACAGCAAAGGGGGCTACAACAGAAGCACGGGTGGATTTAGTGACAAATCCAGGTTTGTACAACAGGCTTTATGGGTAGCAGCAAGAGGCAGAATAAATGCTTTTGTAAAGGATATTTACAGAGAGAGGAGGACTAAAAGTTGGAGTAGGCCAACCAGGAGTGTACCAAGCAGTAAAAGTTTGAGGGAATAAGGATTGAGGGTCATAAATAAATTTTTGTTTGTTAGATTCAAAATATGTTTTATAATCAAAACTAGGGTTATTAAGGAGGCATTAAAAGGATAATAATGTACAGTTAGCAAAAGTTAGTGGCAAAGCCACAAGAAAACCATTTAGGAAAAGTTTCTCTAGAGGCAATATGTGTCCGTCATTACCCAGTGTTGAAGGGTCAGGACAAGCAAGGTTCCAGAAGGCAATGGCAAAAGAGTAGTCTCATATTTACTATCCTTAAGGGCAGGAAGCATAATTTATAGAGTCCAAAGATTTCTATTATATACATATTTGTTATGAGAGGTAATAGTTACTCCACCAGGGAAATTAGCAACCAAAGTATGTTGGGTAACCAAAAACCAACCAGTAAATGGGGAAACGGAATCACTGTAAAAACAAATGGGCGCTGGGCAGTGGTGACATATGCCTTTAATCCCAGAACTCAGGAGGCAGAGGCAGGCAGATCTCTGTGAGTTCGAGGCCAGCCTGGTCTAAATAGAGCTACTGCCAGGACAGGCTCCAAAACTACAGACAAACCCTGTCTCGAAAAACCAAAAAACAAAAAAGTAATAAAAGAAGGAAAAGCTGGAAGGAGGAAGTATATCTTAACTACTATGATCAGCATTGGAAAGAAAGAAAGGATTAAACAGTTTAGTAACAAAAAGACAAACCCTGTCTCGAAAAACAAAAAAAAAAAAAAAAAAAAAAAAAAAAGAATTGCAACGAAGGGCGACTAGGCAAACGATGTAAAATCATTTGTCTGTGAGAGTGACAGGTAGACAAGAGACCATTTGCTGTAATACACCCATAGGTTTATGAGCAGTAGGCAGTGTTATTAGATCCTATGGTTCATCAAGTTTTATGCTTTGTAATTGCTGTTTATTAATAGCCTGTTCCACAATTGTCAGTGCCTTTTTTGCTTCATCAGTTAAGGAACAAGGAGACAAGGATGTCAAATAAAGGCGTAAGTTCTTCAGTGGTTAACTTTTTTTTTTTTTTTTTTTTTGAGGCAAGGTTTCTCTGTAGTTTTGGAGCCTGTCCTGGAACTAGCTCTATAGACCAGGTGGGCTTCGAATTCACAGGTCCTCTTTGAGTTTTATTAGGACTCAGCTTATATGTCCTTTCTGACCATGGAAAAACAAGGCC